GTATAATGTACATAAGAAAATTAAAGAGCTTACCAGAACAAATAGAAGAAATAAATTTACTAGTATTTTAAATGAAAAGGATGATTTAGTTTTGGAATTGGGGGAAAAACTGAAATTATGGAAAGAGTATGTTGAAAAATTATATTTTGATGAGAGAAATTTAAAACCTATAATAATTGATAAAGAAGAAGGACCAACAATACTAAAAGTAGAAGTAAAGAATGCAATTAGAACAACTAAAGAAGGTAAAGCTACCGGACCAGATGAAGTTCCCGCTGAAATTTTGAAATTACTGGATGAAGATAGTCTTGATATTTTAGTGGATTTTTACAACATTATTTACGAAAGTGGTGTAATTCCTCAAGATCTTTTAATGTCTACGTTTATAGCAATTCCCAAAAAAGATAATGCAAAAAAGTGTGGTGATTATAGAACTATAAGCCTGATGAGTCACGTTTTAAAAATTTTCTTAAGAATAATTCATACAAGAATATATAAAAAATGTGAAGAAGATTTAAGCAACACACAGTTTGGGTTTAGAAAATCTTGTGGAACAAGAGAAGCTCTTTTTGCTTATAGAGTTCTGGTAGAAAGAAGTTTAGAGGTTAACAAGGATATATACGCCTGTTTTATAGACTACGAAAAAGCATTTGATAGAATTCTGCATGATAAATTAATAGATATACTTAGGAAGAAAGGAATTGATAGAAATGAATTGCAAATTATAATAAATCTTTACTGGGAACAGAAAAACAACATTTTAATTGATTCTGAATTATCTGAAGAAATAGAAATAAAAAGAGGAGTAAGGCAAGGATGTATTTTATCACCTTTACTTTTTAATATTTATTCAGATGAAATTTTTAAAGAAGCTTTAGAAGATATGGAACACATTGGGATTGTAATAAATGGGATAAATGTAAATAATATACGTTATGCTGATGATACAGTGGTTTTAGCAGAAAATATAAATGATTTGACAATACTAATGGAAAAGATTAATTCAATAAGTAAATTCTACGGACTTCAGATGAGTTATAAGAAAACAAAGCTACTTATTTCATGCAAGAAAAATATAGATAATGTAATGTTGCAGATACAAAACAGGACAATTGATACAGTTTCATCAATTAAGTATTTGGGGACTATCATACAGGAAGATGGCAGATGCAATAAAGAAATTAAATCTAGAATAGAAAATGCAAGGAGTACTTTTATCAGAATGCAGAAATTTTTCAAATGCAATGTTTTTAATTTACATCTTAAAATTAGAATGTTAAGGTACTATGTGATGTCATTTTTGTTTTATGGAGTAGAAACGTGGACCTTAGATAAAAATATGTTAAACAAACTTGAAGCATTCGAAATGTGGTTATATAGAAGAATTTTAAAGATATCTTGGACAGATAGAATAACAAATAATGAAGTTTTGCAAAGAATGGGGAAAGAAAAAGAAGTTTTAAGTACAGTTAAAAGAAGAAAGACGGGGTATTTTGGCCACATCATCCGAGGAAGTAAATATGAAATTTTGAGAAATATTTTAGAGGGAAAAATCTGTGGAAAGAAAAGCCCAGGAAGGAGAAGGAAAAGTTGGTTGGGTAATATATGTGAATGGAATAATAAGAAAGCTGAAGAACTCATACGTGAAGCACAATTGAGATTGTTATAATACTAGTCCTACATTCAGAAATGAATATGGAACCAGAAGAAGAAGATTCCCTATGCCCTCTAAATGCCGTAACTATCTCATTATAATTTTCAATATTTATTTTATATTGTGTACTAATGTTAAATTCTATTCTATTTTGATTTCCAAATTGCTTCAATTTTACGAAAGAGTCGACATGACATTTACGATTTTCGTGTCTTTTGCAAGCTTTACTAAAATTATTTAAATCATAGAAGCCATTCTTATTCCACACGCTAATTTTATATGAAAATAGTAGGCAAGGCCAACAAAACAATTTTTGCATTTCTATGCATCCACAAAGCCGTTTTATGTCTTCATAAATTTTATTGCGAAAATGTCCAAATTTTTTTGTTTGACATATTTATATTTAATTTAGGCATTGATCAAAATGCAGTCTCTGACGAGTTAGGCATTGATCTTTCTGTTTTAATAATGTTTTCTTTCTCATTATATGATCTCGAGCCAAAAGTTTTTTGAAATAAATTTTCAGTATCACAATTACATTCTGAATCAGTAGCCACGATATAAGGGCTAAAATTTAAAATAAAATTATAAAAACTTACTTGGTGAAATAAGATGTGTAGTGGATATACAAGTATACATACCTTGTATAAAATATTCTTCAATTGTATGAATATACTTTTAAAGAAAATTATAATTAAATATAGCTTTGTGAAGAAACGTACATTAAAATAACAAAATCTTCTTTACTTTTTAAATCTTAAAACAACCCACTTAGTCAAATAGCTCCCTACGAATGTATAATGGATGGAATCAGAGACGGTCCCGGTAGGTGTGCGGTGTGTGCATGCATGCGGGCTGCCAAATCCGGAGGGTGCTGATACCAGTCAATGTGAAATGCCTCTTTTGTCGCATCACAAAGGACATGACAGAGTAGTTGTAAATTTTAAATGTTTTTTGCCATAGCTGCAAAAATCTAAATATGTTAAACTTAATAAATTGTCTGTCGTTTGTTTTCTAACTAATTTGTTTTAGGACCGCCAATTTGTCCAAGGAAATTTCCAAAATTTACAACTTTTTGGTCACTCTCATTGAACTGGAAAAATTTCTGTCTTTACTACATCTAATATTATCAAGAAATTAGTCCCCACTGTACTAGGCTAGAGATTGGTTCAGTTAAGCTTTTAAATAAAATTCCTGCTCTTTTGGCAGGGTTTTATTTACGTCCCTAATTCCCTAATCTCTAAATTATTTAACTACTACTTAAGTAGAAATAAGTCGAAACCGATTACTTTGTAGTTGAATATTTGTAATATCGGGAAAGAAGTGGAAAGACAAAGTTTTATGACAATGGATACATAAATTGTAAATTTAAGAAGTATAAATTCTAGAACTTTTTTTGTACCTTGTGTGAAATGCACAAGGTATAAAAATTCATTAAATTCAGTTGTAAATGATGCTGCCAAAGTAGCAGTTACTTTTTTAACATTGTACAAGAATTGTGCAATATATACCATATGTACAGGTGCTGTATGTACTGTACATATGCAGCACTATATTTAAATTACTGCCATGCTAGGCTGCACAGCTACTTGCCATAGTTCATTTGTGGCAGAAAGCCATTCGTGTTCATTGGGCCTTAGTCGGAATGTAACTGAAGAATGAACTGCCAAAAGCGATGTCTTTCAAGATAACTTCCTGTGAGAAACTGGCTCTTACTTAGGTGTTAGAAACACAAAGAAACCATTGAAACCTACGTGACCAGACCATTGGTGAGGTGTGAACCAATGATGAACTACCAGTGTTTGGTGGTGTTATCCACTCGACCACCAGTTGGCTTGAAATTAATAACTTCGCCGTACAAGCAGAAAATGTAAGTGAATTGACAAATGAAGCATGTTTCAAAATGCATATATTCATGAATTTACCACATTGCTGCACTAATGTCATTGATGTAGTTGCCCAGTTCTTGAATTTAGCATAGAATTTGTGCTTATTTCAGAAAATGGTGAATTTTCCTGGATTTGGATAAGTTTATATAGTCAAATATTTTATTCTTCATTTAATTTTAAACACATTTTTCTGTATAAATGTCTTATAGTTGTTTTTGATTTTTGTTTTTAAGAATTTTTTTTAAATTTTAAATATATAATTAAATTTAAACATTTAGAAGCTTGATAGTTACATTAAAGGATTAGATCATGCTTTAGTAGCAGTAATATAGCCCAATCTAATCCTGTAATCATTTTGTTTTAATATAATTAAATCATTTTATGATGATTTACTATAAAGTTTTTAATCATTGATAACTTATTTTAAAATAACAATGAAATTTAACACAAAACTAACTTTAGAAAAAAGAAATAAATTTAAATATGTTTTTTAATAGGAAGAAATAAAAGAAGTGTTTGAAGGAAGTTGTGCATTAATACCAATAAAAATTATAGCTGATGAAGTAAGTTATAGAAATTTTTAAAATGATTTCATTTTAAGTTGATGATATAGATTACTGTGTTTTAATTTTATTGGCTTGTTAAGTCTTATCTAATGTTTTTCATTAATTTTAATGTTTTCATGATATGTTGTTGCAATATTTTCCTGCATCTGAAACTTGCTTTTTTGAATATTAAAAACAGCATTAATTATTTAATTATACAATAGTTTATTATGCAATATTGGTAACGTGAGACAAATGAACGATTTATCAGATAGCACAATAGATATATTCCCCAGCCTATATCTGCTTTGTCTATTTTTGATCTCCATGATGACTTTTTTTTTTGTTGGTTATAAGTTATACCATTGTAGTTTCAATGCAAATGATTGGAATAAGGTAATGGCTAAAGCACTGCTTTTTTTTATTTTTTATTTTTTGTCTTCCAAATATAAATATATCTGAACAAGTATAAAGTTTGCTAGTTCAGTTTATATATTTCAACAGTTTGAGTAAATGCAATGAAAGTTTATAGGAACCGTCCTCTCAATTTTGGGAGATGGTCAACTACTACTGTTGGACGAGTTAACTTCAGTCCCCTTCCCCTGCAACAGTCTTTCTTTCTATCCGAGCAGCAGAATGGTAATGATGGCATTCGAATAGGAAAATGACTAAATATATAGTCACCAATGTGCACAAAATATGTTAAATGGTTTTTAAGGGTATCAAGTTTTTAAATATTCGGTCCAATTTTGATGAAATTTGATTTTGTTAGCCAATTACTATTTGATATTCAGCTGTGAATCATGTGTTAGTTAACCACTCAACAATGAGGGATGGATATATATGTCCAGGGCGATCGTGTGGCAGTGTTGAGGGACGGATATATCTGTTAAATTCTTTTGGGGGTATTGCCAAAAACTACCGTGAAAAAAATTCACATAAAAAAATGAATTATGTAACAATAAAAAAAGACTTTTCTTTGCTAGACATAACTGTTTACAAAATCTTTTTCCGAAAACGGCAATGAGAAAAAAATGCATGGAAAAATACTTTAAAAATTTCCCACGTTTATTCTTCACTACTTTGGGATAGTACCATACCTTATCCCACTGTTGAAAGGTTAAGATTAAAAAAATTTGGATGTCTTGAATTATCATTTTTTGAAGGCAGAAGTCTATGACTATTTTCTGTTGAAAAATATTAATTTCAATCCGACCAATGAAATTGTATGCCATTCCAAATCATTAGTATCATTCTTAGCCCAAAACATGTATTTGGGTGTTTTCTGCCAAGTATGAATCTTTTGTCTGTTTGTTTTAGTCTGTTTGTTTTTATTTTGAATCAAGAATACAATATAATAAATTTCCTGGTCAATGTTAAGTAACTTTGCTAGTGTATATGCATGCATGCATACATACATATGTATATATACCAGCAACATTTTTATTTGTTTCTACATATATAGAAAAAATGTTGCTGATTTTTCGATATTTTATTTGAAAGAAAAAGTTTGATACCTATATGCTAATCTTCCAATGGCTTTATTGATACATTAATTTTCTTAGTGGATTATTTTTTATTGTCAATAATAAAATATTTTTGATAACTTAGATATTATAATAAATATCTCTTATATAAATTTTTTTCCTTGCACTTTAGAGAAATGCTGTATATAATAAACTAATATCAAGTAATAATAGGTTAAAAACATTTACTCAGTTTATATTATGATTCCATATTATATTTCAAATAAATATTTTTGCAATATTGTTGTTTTTAATATGTGAATTTTTCTTAGTTGTGAGATCTTAAATGTCATTCATTTGACAAATAATTTTGTACAAAATTTTTGTAAACTAATTTTAACCTTTCAGCAGTGGGATAGTCAGGTATGGTGCTACCCCAAAGTAGTAGAGAATAAACGTGGGAAATTTTTAAAGTGTTTTTTCACACATTTTTTCTCATTACTGTTTTGGAAAAAGATTTTGTAAACAGTTATGTCTAGTAAAGAAAAGTCTTTATTTATTGTTACATAATTCATTTTTTAGGTGAATTTTTTTTTTCACTGTAGTTTTTGGCTAGTTTTTGGCGATACTCCCAAAAGAATTTAACGGATATATCCGTCCTCACCACTGCTACACAATCGCCTTGGATGGATATATCCATTCTTCACTGTTGAGTGGTTAAGCAAAAGCAAATTTTTTTCCGTATGTAAGTAATTTAACATATGAAATATTTATAACTAATTTCAAGGAAAATTTTTTTTTTCAACGTTTTCTGTATTTAAACAAATGTGCATTTACTCTTGAGAGGATACATTATTCTTCGCATTCTGAAATCTTTAGTTGTTTAGACATGATATAACAGTCCAGACAAGAACTGTTTAAGATACTAATTTACAGTAGCTGGTTACATTTTATTTTAAAAAGTGCTAATCATGGATAGGACTTTGAAGGTATGAAAGTGAACTTATAGCATACAATATAAAGTACAAGCAAAAGAAAATGCAAATGTGTCACCTGAAAAAAATTTAATAGCCACTGACAATAGTGCAGACATTGCAGTGAGTTCTTGCCACATTTATTTGAAAAGCCTGAGCACTAATGTTGGCTTTCATGTCAGGACTGCAGACAGCCATTTTCTGGCAAGATAATGTTCAGTCAGTTTTGTAGGAACATTTTCATACTTCCTTGGGCTCATTCTTTTGGTTTGTCACTTGTTGAGAATTGTAGAGGGACCAGATGGTATTCCAGCTTTGGTTATCTAACTGTGAGGGATCTGGAGCAACAGTTGAAAGATGTGCAGGAAAATCTGTCACAGGATAGTACATAGTGTCTGTAGGTATCCATGCCTGACTGTTTTGTCGTATGTATCTAGGCAAGAGGTTCTACATGGTAATAAAAACTTTATTACCCTGCAAAACGTCTTTAAATTGTATTGTTGGTGCATGGGAAATTGTCTTTGCTGTATTGTAATCATAATTGTATTTGCACCAAGGAAGCTTCATTTGGTTCTGTTGTCGTCTTCTTGGTTCATAATTTTTTTTTCAATGAGTGAATTTTCACATGGATTATTAGTTACAGGAAAATCAGTTATTTTCTCAATCCATTATTTGCAAATAATTTTTAAAAATATTTTATTATAAATTATGATAAAAAACTAGTGGTAAACATGATAAACAGAAATTTTACCAATTTAAGAAGTACTAATTAAGAATTTCACCTATTAACTATAAATTCTATTTTTGTGATTTTCTATTAGGGAGTTGTAAAAACTGACTGATTAGATTAGTGATATATTCTAACAAGGGCAAGACTGGAAGTGGTACAAACTTTTTGGACAAGATTGGGCTTATTTAGGGTTCACCAAGTGTAATAAAACCTTAGATTATCAGGTGTAGATGGACTTTCATTTCTTTGAAAAATAGATTTAAACATTACAACATACAACATATACTAATTATAACTTGTTTCAACATTTGTGGTAACTGAGTCGGTGGCAAGGATTTTCACAATAGTGATTCAAAAAAAACTTTTTTTGTTTTTGTTTCCATCTACTTTTTAAAATTTTATTCATAAATACAATTAATCTAAATATATAAAATTACTTGTCCTGACTGAATGACTGATTCATCATTGCCCAGAGCAAACCGCTGAACCTAAAGAGGTGAAATTTGGTACACAGTTAGGGTACGTCATGGAAACGCACACTAAGAAGGGATTTTTTGAAATTCCCCTGCGGGGGGAGAGGATTAAGGCTTAACCAGAAGAACGGCTTCTACTGTACTATTTTAGATGCGATTTTTTCATTTTCAACTACATTTAGTCTTCATCGAGTACTTAGATGTATTAAATTAATAACATTTCGGACATTGTTATAAATATTTTTATCTATTTTGATTTTAAAAATGTTTGAACCATTTTAAATTAGAATTTGTTATTGCATATTGGTTCGATTATAGAACGATTGTAAATGTTCCAAAAAATTGATCAAATTGAAAACAGTTCGTTTGATTCTCGGCAATTCTCGTTATTCTCAGCGTTAGGTGTTATATAATAATTACTATGGTTGTTGAAATACTGAATATAAATTTGCTTGCAAAATCCTCGTGGGCAAAGCTCAAGGTAACAGCTAGTAAATTATAAAATATTAATACTTCATTTAAAATATGTTTTAAATATTTATTTAGTAGTTTATCTACTGAACATTTCTCTATTTTTTATATTTATTAAAATTATTTATAGCTAGTATACATGTATGCAGAATAAGTTATCATTTATGACTACTATTATACAAATTGTAACAAATGCAGCAACATATTTTTATTTGTTGGGTTGACAAGTAAGTCATAAGTAATATTGGTTTTTCAAAGTATTATTTTTGTACCACAGTGCAATTTTTACTTTGTACTTATTAGTGGACATTTTATTTGAATGTTTCACAAAGATGTTGCTGAGAATGCCATATTTGGTGATTTTTGTAAAGTTAAGTATATTGATAATGATCAAAATGAATTGTTGAAAAGAATATTTAAGGCATCTAATGTTATATGAATTTAGAATACTAGATGTATACACTTGATTATGATGATAAAATCTTTTTCATAATGCAAGTACTTTTAGCAATATAAAATCTTTCTGTCAGGTTAACAAATGTAGAATGGAGCATCACTATGTGCATTAGGGCTATAACATTCTAGAAATTTAAAATATTCCAAGCATTTAAACTTCACAACAGGATTTGAGACTTGTGGTATATTTCAAATTCTGTTCTTTTTCATATTCACAAGCCTTAAATCCTGTTGTGACGTTTAAATGTTTGGAATATTTTAAATTTCTAGAATGTTATAGGCCTATGAATGTAATGATGTTCCATTCTATATTTATTAGTTTGACAACAATTTTTGTATTGTTAAAAGCACTTGTTACCTCTAAGCAGGAAATACTTTTCTTCACAAAGTACAAAGTTCTGTATGTGAATGACATTATAAAAAAGATTTTAATGCCATCTGACGGTATATATCTAGTATTATATTTAATTTAGCATGGACTTTTGAAATAGTATTTGTCAACATGAATTTAGAAAAGATAATATTGCACCAATGAATAATACTTGTAATGTATAAAATAATGAACTTCTGAACATCTGAAAATTTGCACCAGCGTTGGTTCCAGAAACTGGAACCAACGCTGGTGCACCTTCACAAAATATATAATTTTAATAAGTATAAAGATGTAGAGAATGGACAAATGTTATTCTATATACAAACGATGCACATCCCACATTAACAATGAAAAAAATGCCCAAACTTCTTTTGAATTGCAAATTTTATTCATGAACATAATTAATATTTTAATTATTTATGTTTATGGATAAAATTTTAAAATTGAAAACAAAACTTGAAAAAAGAAATGAACTAGTGTGAGATTGAATCATTCTTCTTTGTGTAAATCCTTGTCACTTGACTATCGGCTATTTCAAATGTTGGAAAGTGTTAGAACATGCAATATATACTACTAATTGTAACATTTATTTTTTGCAAAAACACAAAAGCCCGTCTACATCTGGCAATCTAGGATTTTATTACTTTCTCCAAACCTTACGGTCCTGTCCGAAAAGTGTTTCTGCTTCTAATTTTTTCCTTGTAAGTGATATTTACTTCAATCTTTTAATATAGTAAATGCTTGTTAAGATTCATCTTGATTCTAAGTTATGAGAATTTGAATACTAAATTATAATTCTCATGTTTAACTTTTTAAAATTAATTTTCAAAAAAGGAAAAGAAACAAAAATTTATATATTAGTGTTTATAGAAATGTTACAAAATATTTATGATAAACTGTTAATGTAAATCATGTAAAATTTACTATTTAACAAAAACATTTTTTAAATTAATAGAAGGGTTTTTATAACTTTAAACTTAAGTACACAATTTTATACTTGTAAAAGTTATCATTTCATAGATTGAGTAGTGCTTCTAACTTTTTAAGAAACTGAAAAAATTTTTGGTAAGTTTTTAGGTGTGATGTAATAAGTAAACCAAGTACAATTAAAAGTGATGCAAAAAATGCTATAAAGATGATGTGTTTTAGGCATTAAATAAAAAAAATTAGCATTTTAAGAAATATTTCTACACTTAAATGTAAGAATTTTAGCCATTGTTAGTAGATGAAATAAATGCTTTTAACAGATACTATTTTATGTTTAGTTTGATTTAACATGTTTTTTTTTTTTAATTACTAATATTTCAGTGTAAAAAGTTGGTTGATGAATTCATTCCAGAACTTATTGAAATGCTTGCATCCAGAATGGTAACTTTTTTATTTTTAATTTTAGACCTTATTTAAAATTATTAACAGCTTTTCAATTAGCATCTTTTGTATTTAAATTATTTCAATTTTAATAGGATCCTAATATGGTCTGCACTGTCGCTGGTTTGTGCAATGGTGAAATATCAAAGGAACTATCTGTAAGTGTTTAATATATTATGATAAAAACATTATTGAAACAAGAAGTTATTTATTGTGATGTCACAATGCCAGGCTACAATTTTTTATCATAATTTTAATTCATTTCATATAAAATATTTCTACACTTAAATGCTCTTCACTTCTAGTTATTACTGTAATGTCTTGCCCCTATACATCATAATTTTCCTTTAACAATAGTTGTGCCAGTCATCTCTTAACTGCTTTTGGGAGGGGAAAAGTTTTAAATTGAAATAATGTGACTTCCGGTTTGCATTGAAAATTCATATATAGTTTATTGGGGCATTCTGCCCCTAAGGTTTCCATACCTGGTCTTCTATTTCATCTAACTTCTTTCTCAAGATTAGGGGAAGACAGATGGATGACAGTGGAAGTTTATAAGTAAGGTGTGTTTCAAATTTATACGGACACGAAAAAATTAAAGTGAAACCCAAATTTACTGCATTAAGTGACAAATGTTTTATTAAAACTAACATGGATTTACTTGTTTCCACACTGCAAAATAAGAATTTTAATTGAACATTAACATTTTGTCACCAAAAATAATAATTTTGAAAATTTTGTACAAAAAAACTGTTACATATTTATCCAGACAGGCACTCATTCAATGACTTAAATAGAATATTGTTTAGTTTCAAGCATTGAAATATGCAAATCAGCTTACATATCTAATTGTAATACAAATTATGTTGTTCAACGTTCTAAAATGGGTAGAACAAAGAATTTATTTGATTATGAAAAAGAGCAAATTAATGCCTATAAATCACAAGACAAGTCAATAAGAGAAATTGCAGCATATATAAATCATCCAAAATCAACTTTTGGTGATTATTTATCAAAAAGACGTAGCTAGGATGTACCAAAATTCAAGACAGGTCCAAAACCCAAGCTTATACCTCAAGATTGAAGACAAATCATCAAGATTTGCTCCACAAAACAAACATCAGTAAGAAAAATAAAACAAGAATTAGATTTACCTTGTAGCAGCACAACAGTGTGGAGAGTTTTAATTAATTAAATAAATCTCGAACGTTAAAATTCAGAAAAAAGCTATAATGCCACCACTTTCATTAAAGCACAAAAGTGACAGACTTGATTGGGCACAAAAACACATGACATAGTCCAAAGAATGGATTGAAGTTTTGTTCAGTGATGGAAAACAATTCATCTTAGATAGTCCAGATGGTTGAAAGTATTATTGGCAAGATTTAAGAACCGAAAAACAAATATTTTCAAAACGTCAAATGGGTGGGGGATCAATAATGGTGTGGGGTGCATTTTGATTCAATGAAACCACAGATTTAGCATTTATAACTCATAGAATGAATTGAAATAAATATCGAGGCATGCTTGAAGATCATTTATTGGAAGCTGGACCAAATACTTGCGGACCAAATTGGATCTTTCAACAAGACAATGCCCCTGTGCATGCCTTTAAATCAACAAAAATGTGGTTTAAATGTAAAAATATTAATCTGATGACCTGGCCTGCTAGAAGCCTGACCTGAATCTGATGGAAAATCTTTGGGGGATGATGGTTCGTACAGTTTATGCCAATGGAAATCAGTTTTCCCACAATTCGTGATTCGAAGGCAGCAATTTCAGATACTTGGGATAAACTTAGGTTTGAATTCCTTCAGAATCTAATTGAAACAATGCCTAATCGAGTATTTAATGTAATTAAGTTAAATGGTGGTTACATTGGCCATTAAATTGTAAGAAAACTTTGCAATTTGAAACCTGTCCGGATAAATATGTAACAGTTTTTTTGTACAAAATTTTCAAAAATATTATTTTCAGTGACAAAATGTTAATGATTGATTAAAATTCTTATTCTGCAGTGTGGAAACAAGTAAATCCATGTTAGTTTTAATAAAACATTTGTCACTTAATGCAGCAAATTTGGATTTCACTTTAATTTTTTCGTGTCCGTATAAATTTGAAACACACCTTACAATTTTTTCAAAATGAGAAAAGTATTACTTAATGAAAAAATTTAAATTTTGAGTTGCTCATATTTTATATCCTAGAATAGGATATGTGAGAAAGGAACTTATATTAACTGTGCTTAAGAGGATAAAGCAATTCCATCATATACTAAATTAGACACAAAACATGCTTCTTACTTGGAGTATGCCTATTTTTCATAACATATAAGAGAGTAATTTTGTCACATCCTCTGTACCATATAGATATTCAATTACAAAATATTTGAATTTCTGTTTAACCTGAATGTGACTTGTATTCATATCTGTGCTGCATTAGCTATTATTTATCAAACTAATTGTTAGTTAATATTTTTTAATATTCTCTTTAGTCTAACTTATCTCAATTTAAAGCATTTTTAGACTGACTGACTTCTATGTTAGTCATTATCATTTCTCATTTTCTGTGATGTGAAAATTGAAGTTCAATTACTAGTACTACAAATGTTTAAATGTAGATTAGCTTAGATCTTCACTATTAACATCTACAGAACTCTTATGCCTAATTTTTATCTCCTGGATCCTAAGCAAACGAGTTTAAAGAGAATGTGAAAAATACTCTAACCTTTTATTAGGAAAATTTTATTTCCAAACTGTACTTTAACCCATATACAGTTTGGAAGATAATATCTCAAGCTTTTTGGTTGTTTCCTTTTTCATTTCATCTCCACTAGCAATTCAATGCAGATGTAACTAGAAAATCAATAAAATGGAAAAAATATTTGAGCTCAAACCATTAAACTTCCTTAAGTATCAAATATGATCTATTCAACCAAAAGAGAACTTTCTTTTATGTTCAAAATCTAATGAATGATGACTGTTAAGCCATTCAATAGTTCATTCACTTATTATATTGAAAAGGTTAATCACACATTGTCATCTGATTTGAAAGTTATTAAGTAACTTATTAACTCTAAGAGATTAAATGTTGTTTTAATCATTGTTTGCTTGCATTACAATAGTTAAATAGCTAGAATTTCTTATTTTAGCTATTTATCTGTTTGCTGCAGTTAAAATTAGTATTGTAAAAGCCATCAGTCAATAAACACCTGCTACTAATTAATATTCATGTTGATAAATTATCATTAATTAAATTTTTTAATTGCTTTAGCATATCTTTTTTTAATATCAAAGACAATAAAACCAGAACTTTCATTAGTAATGTTGTTTACTATGGCCTCATTATTAGTTTTGAAGTACAGGGTGTTTATAATTAAAGTTTCACTTTGAAATGGCCACAAAATGAAAACTACTGGACAGAATGTTATCAAACTTAGTAATAGTGTACAGGATGTCATGGGATTTTATTTCCTGCAAAAAAATGGCATTGTCTACAATATTGTTAAATGAAATAAGACACGAAGACGTTGTTGAAAATGTTTTTAATCGGTTTTAAAGTGNCAGAATGTTATCAAACTTAGTAATAGTGTACAGGATGTCATGGGATTTTATTTCCTGCAAAAAAATGGCATTGTCTACAATATTGTTAAATGAAATAAGACACGAAGACGTTGTTGAAAATGTTTTTAATCGGTTTTAAAGTGCATTACAGAGCATGTTTAATGTGGTGTCCACCATTTTTTATATGCAAATTACATCGCATTACTGTCATTCTCAACAGTAGCTCTTAGCATATCACTTTCTTCCTGCCATAAGCCATTGTGATTTTGCATAACCCCACAAACAGTTTTATTTTAAAACCAATTTAAAACATTTTCAACAGTGTCTTCATGTCTTATTTCATTTAACAATATTGCAGACAGTGCCATTTTCCATTGGTGGTGAGTTTTTGAACTATTTTTTTTTTCACGGGAAATAAAAATCCCATGATGTCTTGTAACTACATTACCAAGTTTGATAACATTCTGTCTAGTAGTTTTCATTTTATGGCCATTTTAAGTGGAACTTTAATTATAAACACCCTGTACTTGGATTTTTATTTTCTTTCTCTTCATTAGTTTACTTTATTATTTATCCTGCTTAATATTGTCATCATGAATATAGAGAAGTCAGAAGTAATTACTTTGGGACTTGGCTATACTGACACACAACTGGATTCTACTGTTTGTTATATTTCCATTCAGCCTTGTAATTAACATAAATCAAAATTTGTGGTTTTTGTGTTGGATTATGTTGAATCTGTAGGGAATTAATGCTAATGAAGGGATTTTTGATTTTACCAGAAAACAAAAATACGTCAGAAACTGGGTTATACTATATTGTGAAAAATCTATACCTTGTTATTTACCCAACAGAATTAGTGCAAGTTCTGAACTTGTACTATTTTGCTGGATGAATATCAAGGTAGGGAGTTTCTGCATTAAAATAAAACATTTTGAGGATACTTCTTTCTCTTATAGAAGTAAGAAAATAGCTAAAACTTTCTTAATTTATTTTTTAATTTTAATTTTTAAAATTACCTTCTCACTAACTGGATTGACAACTAAGTTCATTAAACAAAACCTTTACAATGTAGTAAATAATTTTAATGTAACTTATAAAATTTGCTTTTTAGATACTAAAAATAAGATTTTGTATCATATAATTAAAAGCAGTTATAATTTTTGTACTTTTATAATAATATGCAAATTAATTTTATAAATGTAATTAAGTAAAATGTATTTTTGTTAATTTCTAGAGTGCAGACATAGTATCATTGTTCTACAAAAATAAATATAATTATTGTAGCGATTGCAAAAAAGTCTTTAATGCTGTGAAAGAGATTTTTACAAAGGTTCCTCAGGTAATTATTTAGTATTTTAAAATTTAACTTTATATATACAGTAGATCCCCCTATAAGACGGTAGATACGTTCTGTTCTTTATGAATCAATTTTGTAGGAATCATAGTTTACGGACTACGGCTGTTTGAAAGGTTTTCTTTCATAAAATTAATCGATTCTAGACTAATTCGACTCAATATTTCCAAAATACGTATATTTTTTTGAAAATAATCCATATAAACTACGTTATAAACAAAAAATTGTAGGATTGCTTACCGAGTGTTTACCGTTCGACTACGCTCGTTGCTAAAGCTTGGTTTCGTCGCGGAACAGCGCATCAAACCACGGCCGCGATTTCTGATATTATTTTTCTGCGAAAACTTCGTTGACCTTTGGAGACATCCTTAATATAAATAATTTTTATGGCCGTTAAATAAGAAATGTTTCTTTCACAAGAAATGTATAAAATTACAGTACTGGACAGACGATAGGTCGCCTAACTCGCCGTAGCGTGACGCTAGACGGC